GGTCAGATTTCAATAATGATGTTACGTTCCTTCACTGATAATGATTCTTCAATTTCACACAGGTTTTTTTTCTGGTTGCTCAATTGCACTAGTTATTGCTGTTGTTTTCAAGATAGAAAGTAGAAAGATCATGGAGAAGGACTACGGTACTGTATACATGGCGAATATTATTCCTCTTTACAGGCAATTATTCTATTCAATGACTCAGAACATATGCTCATCAAAAAAATGGAAAACAGATCTTTCTTCTCATTCTCACAAACATTGCATGTCCTGCAGCTTATTTGGATACATCATTCTTCATATGCTTATGTACTCAGCGAATATATACTTCTGGAGGCGTTATAGAGTCAACTATACCTTCATATTTGGTTTCAAGCAGGGAACGGAGTTAGGTTACAGAGAAGTTTTTCTGGTAACCACCGGTCTTGCGGTGCTTGCTTTCATATGTTTCCTGCTAAATTTGCAGCTTGATATGGACTGGAGGATAAAAGATCATAAGACACTCCCTGAAGTTATTCCATTGGGTTTGGTCACTGTAAGATGTTTTTTCAGTGTTAAAACATTTTTGTTTATCGTTTGATAAGATGGAAAATGTTAGCTCAAATAACCCTTTTTGTTTGCAGATTGTTCTTTTCATACTTTTCTGTCCTTTCAACATCATATACCGCTCAAGTCGAGTATTCTTTATTCGAGCACTGCTTCACTGCATTTGTGCTCCTCTCTACGAGGTGATTGTATGAAATTGTCGTATATGTATCTACCAGTCGTTAAACCCAATAACAGTAAAGATCCCATTTCGATGTTTTTGTTCTTCATTACAGGTTACACTTCCAGATTTTTTCTTGGCAGACCACCTAACCAGTCAGGTACAAGCCATAAGGAGTTTTGAGCTATTTATATGCTACTATGGGTTAGGAGAATACTTGCAAAGGCAAAACAAGTGTCATAGTCATGGTGTTTACAATGCTTTCTACTTTGTCGTTGCTGTTATACCTTACTGGCTCCGTTTCCTCCAGGTAATCACACAAATTCAATCTCTTTTTCTCGTTACTGCATTCACTAATTCTATCACATCTGAATCTATAACTCAAATGTATATCATCTTTTCAGTGCATACGCAGGTTATGCGAAGAAAAGGATTCAGTACACGGATACAATGCTCTGAAATACATGTTGACAATCATTGCAGTCATCATAAGAACCGCGTATGAACTGAAAAAGGGACGAAATTGGATGATTTTGGCCCTTGTAAGCTCAGGTGTTGCTACGGGTATGAACACGTTCTGGGACATTGTTATAGACTGGGGACTCCTCCGTAGGCATTCCAAGAACCCATATCTGAGAGATAAACTGCTTGTCCCTCACAAAAGCGTCTATTTCACAGCCATGGTAACACTAGAATCTCTTGCGATTAGATTATCGGATAAAAGAATCTGGTTGAATATGATATGAATTTTGACAGGTAGTGAATGTGATTCTAAGGGTGGCATGGATGCAGCTGGTTCTGGAGTTCAACTTAAAGTCCCTTCACAAAGTCGCGGTATCAACCATTATTTCATGTTTAGAGATTGTTCGCCGTGGCATATGGAGCTTCTTCAGGTTGGAGAATGAACATTTGAACAATGTAGGCAAATACAGAGCCTTCAAGTCTGTTCCACATCCTTTCCATTACTACGACGACGAAAACACTGATGACAAAGACGACTGAGCAATCATAATAATACTCTAAAATAACACAGATATTCGTTATGGCCTTATTCAATGTGTAAAGACCATACATTCTTTACATAAATCCAAAGGGAAAAAGTAAAGATACATACTTTGACCTAGAAATAGCTGTACTAGAAAAAAACTTAACCTAAACAACGGTAACTTTGATTCAGTCCACAAGAGAGAATCCAGAACGTAGATCATATGCTCTTCTTCTATCATCGTTCTTCAGCTCGGCTATGCCGCGTTTGAGCAGATCACAGACCCCGAAAACCGCCTTAAAATCCCCAATCTGACCGTTATTAAACAGTTCCGTTATCTCCGTGCGCCGCCTCTCAATCGATTTAGCCACCGTCTTCGAGGATGATCCACGTTTGATCCCCAACACGGCGTAATAGTCAGGCTCTCTTGTGGCGGTTCGATTGTTAGCTGCCGTGAGAAGGATTCTGTAAGCTGTGACGTGTGCGTAAGGCTCAGGTGCGTTTGGATTCGACATGGAGACTGAGACTGCACAACGTAATGCAAGCTCGAGATTTCCTTTCTCAAAGTTCTCTTCACAGTAACCAAGTACTTCCTGAATCTCTTTTGACATTCTCTCAATTTTTGTTTTTTTTTCAGTAAAAAAATGTACGAATGATCACTCACGGGTTAAGTACCTTACTTATAGATTGATGCTCTAAATCCAAAGTGAAGTAGGAGTGTTCGTTGTTTATTTAATTTTTTTTTTTTTGAAAAGAAAAGGAAATTTCTGCTAATTTTTAACCCTAAAAAAGGAAATTTATGTTCTACTCTGTAAAACCTTGAGACGCAAGGGACGAGATAATGCTATACCAAACCGGTTCTGATGATAAGAACCAAATAAATCTGGACCGGTTTGTATACTGGAACCCAAAACCTCTAGACGTGTTAGAAGGTTTCAGAATCATTCATAACCAATGAGACAGTTACACGTGTTACGGTCATTGAGGTTCGTCTTCAACACTCGTTGAACGATCGAGGAGGAAGCAGAGAAACAAAATCGAAGAAGGAAGATTCTGATTTCTTCTCTCCATTTGTCTCGAAAAATGTTTCTCCGGTCGAAGAAATTATGGACGGTGCTTCTGATTCTATCGATTTGGTCGCGAGTTTCAGACTCGTTGCACTTCGAATTGAATTCAGGTCGCACAAAGTGTATCGCTGAAGACATCAAGAGCAATTCAATGACTGTTGGGAAATACAGCATCGATAACCCTCACGAAGGCCAGCCTTTGCCTCCATCTCACAAGATCTCTGTAAAGGTAGGTGGATCCTTTAAATTTTGACCTATCTTCTGGATTTTGGGGGAAGAGATCTGATTTTTAGTATGTATGTGCGATCTTTCTTATGAAGGTAACAACATCCAACTCCGGGAACAGTTACCATCACGCGGATCACGTGGATTCGGGTCAATTCGCGTTCTCGGCAGTGGAAGCAGGAGATTACATGGCTTGTTTCTCTGCCGTTGATCATAAGCCTGAGGTTACACTGAGTATTGATTTTGAGTGGAGGACTGGTGTTCAATCCAAGAGCTGGGCTACTCTTGCCAAGAAGAGCCAAGTCGAAGTGAGCTCAAATTTTTGTTTCTTCTATTGGCTAATTTCCTGCATAATCATAGATTTTCTGATAAAGTGGTCTGATTTCTTACATAGACTGTAGCTTGAACAATTTAGATAAGATGGTTTTCTAGCTTGGGACTTGCAATTGGCGTTACAAATAGTTATAGGGATAGACAGAGACTCTATGGATGTGGCAGTGTTAGGGTAGTTATTTTGCGTTCCTCGTGTTTAGAACCGTGCGCGATCTTAAGCGATTTTGTTGGTGAATTTGTGGCAGGTCATGGAATTTGAGGTAAAGAGCCTTCTTGATACTGTCAACTCGATTCATGACGAGATGTTTTATCTTAGAGAAAGGTAAAGTCTTGTCCTTTCATTCTCAGTTGTTTGGTAGTGTAATGCTATGGAATGCAGTATCAAGAAGAGACGATTTACATACCTATGATTTGTTTGGTATCACCTCAGGGAAGAAGAGATGCAAGATCTGAACCGGTCCACAAACACGAAAATGGCATGGCTGAGTTTCCTCTCTTTGTTCGTCTGCATAGGAGTGGCAGGGATGCAGTATTTGCACTTGAAGACGTTTTTCGAGAAGAAGAAGGTCATCTAATATTCTAGGCAGTCACACGCACA